TTACAGTATTGAAGTAGAAGGTAAATGAAGATTAATATCAATGAGATTTCTCTCGAGTTTGCACTCATATGTTAGTATACTCGGATATAAATGATCAGTATTATTTGAATTTAAGAAAGTGGGATATGGTCCAACACGACTTCCGCACATTTATTAGTTTTCTCTCTAGCTCTTTTGCATATACACTATGGATCACACGGAATCACAGTTTTCCTTTCAACTCTTTGTTTAAACATCACCTTGAATGATAACATGGTTCTCATGACTTTCTCTAACAACGTCTACACACGGCAACTAGATACTTGCACTAGCCCTCAAGGTTTTCACCGTTGGAGTATAAGTAAGATAAGAGTTTTTTAGAAAATAATAAGGATAAAAAGACAGTATCTTCGGACAACTTTAATTTCATAAACCCATCACAATAATATCTCTTACATAAGAGTATACATACATACTTAGGCTGCACTCTTGGTACCTTCTCTAAAGAGATTAGAACTCCATAAAGATTACCTTATTACACGNAATAATATCTCTTACATAAGAGTATGTATACATACTTCGGCTGCACTCTTGGTACATTCTCTAAAGATATTAGAACTCCATAAAGATTACCTTATTACACGCTTCACTTAAAAGAGAGAAAACTAAATTGTTACAAGATTTTGAATAGTAGGCTGAAAGATAAGTTTTTGCTTAGAAATTGTTGTTTTTCTTTTGAGAATTAGTCTTGAATTTGTAGACTAGAAAGGTTCCACAGTTGTCCTTCATTATTGTCGCTTTAACTGTATAAGATACTGGGTATCTTAACGTGGCCTAAAGTTCTCTTGTCGTAATATGAAAAATTGTTGAGGTGAAACCCACGGTTTTTCTTTATCGGAGTGATTTTGATAAAGTACTGATAAAGGGGTCCATTATTTTTCCATATGTGACTCAAACCACTCATCCGAAAATTCGTTGGATCAAGGGAGATTGGTGAGAAATCGCATTCAGTGCTACAACAAGCGTACTTGTGATTAAGATAACGCCAAAACTGCTTGCACAGCTCATCTTTTGTTTTCTGTGTTCTACTAGCGTGTCCTTTGAAAATATGATCACACCATGTATCACGATAATGTCAATCTTCTTGTTTAGTGGGTGCCACAACATCGCTATAAATCATGTGGTCTTGTGACTCATATACACAAATTTTCTGATTTTCTTCAATAACCATCTGGATATGCTTGAACTGCTCCTTGTATCCCTGGCTCTACGGAAGACTATCATATTGATGACATCTTCTGGTGTAGTTTCATAGACTTAACTCTTTTCAGGCTGAAGATGTTTGGAATTAATGGCAATTCTTATGACATGACTAACTGG